TATGCTATCAGAAACTGGTTGATGATGAAACTAATTAGTATAAATAGTGTTATTACTTTTTGATTATACATAGTTCAAATGGTGAAATTGTTACGACTAGATTTCTGGATGTGAATATTGAAAGAAATTGAAATTGCAAGGAATTAAAATAATAATGAATCCCGACCCTCTCTAAAAATCTGTTCCATTCTGCCCGGTCTCTAGCATCCTCTCACCATCTGGACACCTTTCTGGTGACCTTACGTTCAATATCTAGTGCTCGATCATCGTTTTGACTCAATGTCCACGTCTCCGCTTCGTATACATTTATTGGTAGTGTTAACGAGACATTCAAGGTACACAAAACTATCAACTTGTTTGAAGAACTATTCGCCAAACTGAGTTGTTGGCAAAGGGTTTCTTGATGGGTCTCTAGTGGCAACCATGTAGGTACTTTGTCTTCTCGTGATTAACAGTCAGGCCAACTCTCTTTGCAGCTTCCTACATTTCTCTTTTACTGCGACCCACAATATCAACATCATCAGCGAATCCCAACAGTTGTTTCTCTCTATAAAAGATCGTGTCGCCCCTTCTTATTCCAGTTTCTCGGATTGCCTTTTCCAGTACGAGATTAAAGAGTAAGCATAGTTGAGACCTTGTTTCATTAGAAAGCTCTTGGACAATTTTGTTAGTATCCTAACAGATGATGTTATGTGTGTTATTGTCATTTGAGTTAGACGTACGAGTTTCTCTGTTATCCCAATTTCCATAATAGCGTGAAGGATCTATTGATACTGTCGTACGTCGCTCTAAAAGCAACAAACAGATGGTGCGTGTTGATGTTATGTTCAAGGGTCTTCTCCAGAATTTGCCACAATGAGTGAATTTGGTCGATGGTCGAGCTTCCGGGATTGAATCCATACTGGCACTCGTCGACCACTTCCTCAGCAGTTGGTCTGCTGTACAGTATATTGACCTGTATTTTGTACGCTGCTGTTACGAGAGTTATTCCTCTGTAGTTATCATACTTGAGGGAGTCGCTCTATTTGTATAGTGGACATATTATTCCGCATCACCATTCTTGAGGCATTTCTTTCTTCTCCCGTATCGATCTGATCAATATAGTTTCAACCATCTTATCTCCGCCTTTCTTATATAGTTCGCTACTCAGATTTATTATTTTTTAGCTTTCTTATGGCGCTAATAACTTCTTGTTCGGTAGGGGGTCCTGTTCTAATTGGTTGTAGTGTTGGGTCTAGATAGGTCTTGCTGTCATCTCTTGATTGGTGTTAAGTTTCTTCTTAGAGTGTTGTGTCCATCTATTCAGAAATGAGACCTTGTTATTCATTATATTTCCCTCTTTGTCTCTACAGTTTTTAATTCTGGGTTTAAATACTTTCCGTGTCTCATTGAGTTGTTTAAAGAACCTTCCTCATTTCATGTTGGTTTGTCAATGCCTCAATGTTCTCGATTTGTTGCAGGCAGAATTGTTTCTTTCTTCTCCAATGTATATTCTTTTCTTCCTCTTTAGGGCCCTGTACTCTTCTTTGGCTTTCCTGGTATGGATTGTTTTTAAATAAACCTCATTATTTTTTTTTATTGCTGCCTGGCATTCTTCATCAAACCACATGCCGTTTTTGTTTGGCTTCATTACTCCCAGCACCTCTGTCGCCAGTGTATTTATCTCTTTGGATCTTACTCTCAGTTGGTTAATATATCAGTGCAGTCTCCATTTGATTCCGATATTACTCCGACTTATGTTCGTCTTTTGACGCCTCAATGTTCAAACGGTTTTTTCGTAAGGACCTCGCGTTCTTTGCGAAAAAAAACTTATATAATGTAGTCAAAATCTGGAGTTGCTAATGCTCTTTGCTGTTTGTTCGTGCCAAATGAAAAGTGTTTATAAAAATATCTTGCCTTATTTTGGGAATCTAAGTATGGAGCTAGTTCAGCAAGTTTTTATCAACTATAACCCTTTTGTTTCAACAAGAACCTAGTACTTGACGGGAGTAATGACGTTTAGTTCTTTTCAACAGTAACAAAGCTAAAATTTTTGCAAGTAAAAAAAACAATAATTTATGTCAATAAAATGTTACATCTCCACGATTGTTTATGCACTGTCTAACTCTGCGAGGCATGCTCTGGATGAGATGATCAATGATATCTTGTGGAATCTCGTCCCAAGCTTGCTGTCGATGACGACGAAGTTCCTGCAAAGTGTTTACTGCTCGTGATAAACGCCTTATATAGCGATCCATCATATCCCACATACGCTCGATCGAATTTAAATCAAAATAGCGAGCAGTCCAGGAAAAGTTCTATCAGTTTTTTGTATAGGTTCTTTGTATCCTGCTGGAACATGATGTCAAGACGTTCATTTAGCCTGGGTATTACAACGGGCTGTAAAACCTCGTAGATATATCGATGTACATTTAATATGCCAGGGATGACAACTAGAGGTGACTTATACTCCAACGATATGGCACCCCATACCATCATACCAGGTGTTTGGCCGCCGTGACCTCGGGGGTAAAATCTAAACTGCGACGCTCGAAACGGAATCTTCTTACCATTACCTGTCCATTATTTTTCCACAAACAGAGCCGGTATTCGTCGCTAAACATTATGTGATCCCATTCATTTATCCAACGTTGTCTTTCTTGGCACCATAGAAGTCTGGCTGTTTTGTGAAGTTGCGTCAAAATAAGACGTAACTATCCGCCTCAGATTTCTCATCCAGTCAACACCAATTGCAGCCAAAGATCGAAATATGTCTCTAAGACTCATTTGTTTGACTCATGTTTTTCAGATCACACAATCCATGCTCGAAGCACTGTTGAAGGGTTTCAATTCAATCTTTGACCAATTTCACGAAATGGAATACCTGCTTCTTGCAGGCCAACAGTTCGCCCTTTCTCAAAGTCAGACAATTGGTTAAAAAAAGAAACAACGTTCACTCACCAATACCCTTTGTCATGCAGTTTTTAACTTTCCTGTTACAGATTATCTTCACAATTCTTTGTGTATCGATATGATGGTTTTATTACCAACGTTTTATCCAGTTGTTTTGTTAAGATTCCAGCTTGGACTCATCTTTTTCGGGGTATTGCAATATTTTTTGGCACGTAGTATATAGAAGGCAACATCATATTTCAGCTTCCTGGTTCGATTGATTTTAAAATTATTTTTATAAATATAATAATGGGTTAAGCTTTCCGGTATGAATACAGATAGAAGAATGTTATTGCGGTAAGAATCCGTACGAATAAAGAAATTTATGATTTTTAATTTTTGTTCAATGCTTATATACTAAACGTTGAAACGGTAATTGGGAAAACTACCCATCCTTCTGTACTTATATGTGCAGTAGAAAGTAGGAAATGTGAATGTGTTGAGGGCATATGGAAATTATTGCCATACGAAAGTTGCTTCAAAGAGTTCCCCACAAATAATTTTTTTTCTTTGTTATATAAATAAAAAATGAATCGTCCCTTACAGAAGTAAAAAAGCCATGTATCTAATTCTTAGTTTATTCTGCAATTCTTAAAATGTTTTACCTATATGAATCAACTTTAATTTTAATGTCTTCCATCAAAATTACTAACAGTAATTTAATGTACTTTTAACTGAACAAATACAGTTACTTACATCTTTCAAAACAAGATTGGTTGTGTACGTAGCATAAAACCAAACATAATAGTGTATAAATAACGATCAGTAAAGTTCAAGCTATAAAACCCACAAATCAGTCTACATTTTTTTTTTCTTATTTTTGGAGCACTGACACATATTTACAGTTTCAAAATGCCCCGTTATTCGTATTGCGTACTATGTATTTGTTTTTATACTTCTTTCATGCTTCATCAACACGATCAAATTGTATAAAAATATTCAAATCAAGCTTTCAACCATTTGATTACTTTTTAAAACGAACCTTTTATATTTCTTTATTTATAAATAAATATCCAGTAGACCGTTTAATTACTACTTCTCAATGAATATACGTGTTGATTAAGAAAGTGTGTATATTTGCACCAAGAAACACGACAAAAAAGAAGGTAGAAAAATTAAACTTGACTTTCTACGAAGTTGATTCGTTTTATGTTTTCTGAGAACGCAAAGAAAGTCTCGAATGGCGAAATGATAACATGAAACAATCCGTAGTTATTTTTGCAGTGACGAAACGATTTATTTGATTTGTAGTGAAAGCTTATCAAACTAGTTAACTGAATAATCAGCCTTAAAAGAATTTGAACACTATTTTGTGTAACATTTTCTCGGACAACTAAGTTTTAGTCATACAAAGAAATATATTAAAATAATCCTGGTAGATTTCGTTTAGAGCACAGAATAGTTATTCGAAATTCAATTCAAATGAAGCATGACAAAACCGGCATCGATTAAGTAGTGGAAGGTTAAGGTCTGCGCGGTTCGTCGGTCATCAGAAGAAACTTTCTTCTCTCTTTGAAACTGTGTCATATGACGTCAATTTCTTGTGTCATTGAGGTCCTGTTATGTCGGGTTGAATTATTTTATGTGCCAAGTAAATACAATCAACATTCCCGGTAATCTTGACATGGATTAATAACAACCAAAATAATGCTTTTTATGTCACAGACGAATTTTAACAAATACTTTCACTTTTCAGACACAATTTTGTAATTTTAAAAGCAATTAATGCTTTTAATTTATTAATTGAATATAAAAACGAGTTGTTTCATGCAGATTCAATTCGGTCGTCTTTAAAAATTTTAACCACGAAACTAATAGTTTTCTACGTTACCGTAACGGATTACGCTTTACGTTATCTGGGTCAAGTGTAAACGGCGTAAGACGGAGGAAGAAGAAATTGACCTAAATTCTTCAGTCGTTCCGGTGCGGCGCAAGAAAAATTATAGTATCAACATTATGTACATTTTTGTAACAGTCTTTTATTCTATCCTATAACAATCATAATTCCCTATAAATTTACAATAAAGTTCGGTTTTTTTAATTGTTTTTTTTTAAATGTTGGTGCTTACCACAAAACGGTATTCCCTCGGGATACCAGACCCCATTGTCGCATTGTCTTCTAGAAGGACCAAGAAGTTCAAATCCTCGTTCACAAGTGTAAGTTGCTATTGTACCTGGTCCTAGGGTTTCATTTGAAAATCTAACACTGGAATGTGCTGGAGCACCTGGAAATCTACAGTTTTGTTCTTCGCCATTTACACCTATAAGAAAAATAAAATAAAAAATTAATTTTTTCAGTTATATTATTTAAAATGATTAAAGTGAATGGAAAATAGAAAAATAAGTAAATTACTCTGTCAATATAAAGAGCTTTTAGTTGTAGATTTTAGTAAAAGGGAAATTTAACATTTACTTTCACCATAAAATGTTACTTTATTCAGATTTAGTTATATTTGTTTATTTTAAGTTTCACGATCATTAAATTTTGTATTTATTAATTTCTAGCAAGAAATCAAGAAACATAAAAATCAATAGAATTTTAGTTTGAATGATATGAATGTAATTAAATCACTTAATAGTTATGTCCGAATAAGACTGGGCACACTGTTTGCTTATTACTGATAAAATATACACGTACATACTGTTTGTTCCTCCTATATGTATACAACATATTCTATTTTAAATGTAGCCAGTTTTATGTAGTTGTTTTATAAAGTAAATATAAAAGTATTTTTTTGAAATTATCTGATAATGTACACAGAGTTCGTTGAAACACCGATGCTTTCAAGCTTTCCTACTTCCGGTGCTTTCATACATACATTGTTATGACGATATAAGCAATAATTTTAAAATACAGGGTCCTGCACTGAAACTTCTTTTTTCAACGGTAAAAAGTTAAAGAATTTATTTCACATTTTTAAATTTTCTTTTATTAGCATTATGCACTAACATGGAAACTTTGATATCAAACTGTTTAAAAAGAATATTTGAAAAGCAACCGGTGTGTTGTCTATTTCATGAGGAATATTGTTGCTCCCAGAGTTACAGGACGGCTGTTAAAGATCGATTTGAGGTAGTCCCATAAACAATCACATGGGACTAAATCTGGCTGATAAGTCGCTCTGAATTCGCCCCATCTTGCTGAAAATATATTTCATCAACAGCAAAATTTTCAAGAAGTGGCAGAAAAAAGTTGCCAGGCATGGTCACAACGCTCCGAATTTGCTGTTACCGTGATATTATCCTCTTCGAAAAAGTATGGCCATTAATCCCAAACTATGACCTGATCCGAATGGAGTTAGTTACCTTTTATTGATACCGCTCCAATATGGCATATTTTATTTGTTAACACAACCTGACATATGGAAATGAGACACATAACTGAACCACACAACTGCATCAGCAGGCAAAGTCTCAAGGAACGTTTGGCATAGCGCTTATCGTGAAACCAATTGACGTTCAGAAAGTTGTTGTGCGACTACCATTTCGCATGGGTGAACGTGTAGGTCATCATTAAGAATTTGGCGAGTTGAACGATCTCACAACACCAGAGCAACTGTGTGTTTTGAAGCAGAGCATCTTGGAGATCATAAAAATGAAGCTCGGACTGCGTCGATGTTTGCAAGTGTTCCAATAGTCAGTGCTGCTCCTTGTCTCTTGCGGGACACATTTCCAACTGCCCTAAAAGCTTCCACCCACAATAACTAACATTTTGACAACTGACGATGTTTGACAAACAAATTCCCTCACCAACGTTTTTGACTAAAAACACTACCGCGCTACAACTAGCTCCAATCATGCCACCACGTTTGATTGAAGAAAGAGAGTTTCAATGCCGGGCCCTGTATTTGAAGTATTTTTGGAGTATGGAGATAATGCAGAATTACTACGAAAGATTTTTTAAAACGCTATATTTTCAAAACTATTATACCTACAAACATGAATAAAATAACAAAATAATAGGAAACTCTTCAAGTTTTTTTTTTTCACATTCACAAATGTTTTATGTGCCCCCCTGGCTCACACCACGTATATCTAGCCGATAGTTCAATTCAATCCACACATTTTGTAGCTTCAATTGTCATCACTGCAGCATTAATCCTTACCCTTAGTTCTTCTGTGTTTGGTAGTGAGGGCGTGTAACAAGATCCGTAATCTGCTCCCAAAGAAAGAAATCACAGGTCATTAAGTCACTATCACGTAAAATCCAGTGATGCGGAAGTTCGTCGTTCAGGTATCTGCGAACTTGCATACTTCAATGAGGGGGTGCCTCGTCCTGCTTTGAATGTTCGCAATTATGTATTTGAAATGAAAGTGAATATACTGGTTAAACTTGATTCCACGAAGATGAATGACGCTTGTCTGCTTAAGGTTTCTTTTCAAAACATCGGCGTATATGTAAGCAGGTAAGTCTACCTGTAGAAGTTACAAAATCATCATAATACAAAGAAATTAACGTTCTTATATGTTCCACAAAATATATCCATTTATGAAGATGACAATTTTTTGCGACCTTGAGTGTGGAAGATTTTAACATGACAGTTTTCCATGCGAGTAGTTCTGATTTGGCCAAGAATTGGGATAGCTTATCTTTTGCAGCATATGAATAATATCTCTATTTATTCGATTAAATATTTAGACGTGGTAAGTTACTTGTACCTAAGAATCCATATGATATCATTCTTAGAACATGCTTTGGACATAGAATTATCTCTGAAATCCGGTTTTCCTTTTGGTAGCTATGTGATTTGCAATTTAAGAAGAGCTGGTTTCTAGTAACTGCACCAGCATGTGTAATTGATATGCTATTGAGTTGCTTTATTACTCTCCATATACAGGGTGTGCCACGACGTGACTGCCACAGTTTGGGAGTATGTTGCTATGTTGCTTTCAACCCGTGGATTGGAAGAGGTTAAGCAGTTTCTTGGCCAGCAAGGTCACCAGACTTTAATCCCTTAGATTACTTTTTATGGGGAAGACTAATTTAGACTTCTATTTTAGACTAGTAGCTAGAATTATGGATGCCGCAGAAACTATTCGTGTTCATCCTGAGACTGTTAGCTGAGCTACCTATAGCAACGGGGTGGACATTTTGAGCAACTAATTCAATAAAGCTGTTTCTTTTTAAATGGTCTACTACTACTTATTTAAATTTTCAAATGCTTGTAGCTCGGTTACGATAGCGTCTTGTGTGTATGTTCATTAGACATTTTTGACTTGAAATCACCTCAGCAACACACTCCCAAGCTATGGCAGTCACGTCGTGAGACATCCTGTATATTATAACATTTTCTGATAGTACTAAAATATACGAATCCAATGATACCTCGCATACAAATATTGGTTAATTAGTTTTTATGATAATACTTAATAAAAATTCAAGAAAAATGAAGCGCGCAACTTTTAAAGGATGCCCCTCCCCTTAGATTTTTCGCAAGACAGGCAATCGATATGGATAGATCCGTATTTATGATGGAATATTTTAATACTAGCTTCTTGAGATTTCTTCCTCGTAGGATTCTCGGACTGATTTCGTGTACTGTTTACGTCTAAAGCAGGGCAAACTCTCGGGGAACTAGAGAGTATCAGAGTGCCGCAAAGTCTGAATTTAGGTTGACTTCTTTTCATGATTTTCATTAATTGAGTTGCCTGATCTCCTTTTAACTTAAGCGGGTAGTTGTCTTTTCACTCGAATGTGGAACGCAAATTGTGCTGAAACTGAAGACAACTCTGGAATCCAGAGTTATCCAGAATCTGGATAGGGTAGCGATGTATTAGATTTGAACATCTGTTGTCTCAATGTGGGATTCCCATACCGTGCCTGCATACTGACACGCGGTTTCATTAACATTGAATAAATTCCACAATGATTCTTAAATACGATTTTGTATCGTTGCAACTACGACGGTAAGAACACTAAATTTGCGGCTGGTTTGTTTGTTCTTTTGGCAACTTTACCAATAAATAGTCCATGACCAAGATCATAATATGAAATATTAACCGGTTGACACGTAATCTTTTCTGATTTGTCTATTTGCTTATTTTATTGTTGATATTGTATTTAGTCTAAATCGTTGAACAGTGATTCCCCAGTTTTTATGCGTCGTCCGTGATAAAGTGTAGTCACATAGTTCTCTATGTTTGGACCTTATGTATTCGCAAAAGTTTTCCGTAAAGAACTTCAATTATACCTGGACGACCTTCTTCCATGGTTGGTACGGCTTCCATTAGGTATGGCTAACTAACAAACACACGGAATATATGATGATGTCCCAATTCGTATGATCATATGATTTCAAAAATTCGATTTGATAAAAATGATATTAGCACCTAAATGCAGTTTAATGATGAACAAGAATTGAAATTTTACCAGTTTTCAGGGTGTTCGGTTAACGCTAAATACAGGTTTGTTGAAATGCCAATTTTGTCGCTATTCATCAAAAATAGTAAACTAAATATTTATGGTGTTTTTAATTATTTTATTAAATATATTTCTAACAATTATTATCTTGTTTCCTATAGAACATTCTGTCACTCTTAAGCACGTCGATATCTTAAAAATTATTTCCTTTTATTTTTTTTCTATTAAATATCTGTTAGTATCTGTAAAGTGATAACAACCTATTAGTATGTATAAACCAATGTTTATTTACTTCCTATTATATTTTAAAAACAATCTAGAAGGCATCAACCTCTTTCATTAACATTCTTTAATAATTTCTTTGGAACACCTTTAAATCATTAACTAATAATTAACATTCTATCACTAAATATTTTATGAGAATGCTATTTATTTCCAGCACAAAATAAATTTTTAACTTTTGTGTTAACTTTCATTCAATTTCTCTCTGTGATAGAAAATCTTACAAAAAAGTAAGCAGGTTTTTAACCCATTCTGAAATCATTATTTTATTTAACTCCCGTTAGCTTCTTTAAACATACAAGATTTTTTACCCCTTTCTTTTTCTTAATAAGAAGTGTATCAAATCCACTTTCAATATAACTCGTGACACTTTCCCGTTCCCAATTTCAATTCCATTGTGTCCCGTATCCGGTCACACTTGCACTTTGTCGGTAGCCCTATTTTTCCCCTCTACTATTCACTTCTTCCGTACAGCTCAAACAAACCTACATGGAACGTTGAATTTCCGGTTTACACGCCAGACAAAAGGTCTGTTCAGTTGATGTCTGGCCTCTCCACGTTATTCTCATAACACACCTTTAATGACCTTCTGCCGCACATTTCCTCTCCTTCTAGCCGTTTCGTTTTATTGGTGTGGCCACACTCTTCTTCTTCATCACGTTCGTGTGTGCACTTGACTCTCTTCTCTACTCTTCGACCACGGAAAAGCTCTTTGTAGGTCACCGGGACATGTGTGTAGTTAATGTTATTTAAAATCTACTTAGTAGTGGTACCTAGTTCTTATATGGATTTTTATGTTTCATTTAATGCTTTAAATTTAAGAATTGCATGAAAAGTATAATATAATTAAAGGATGTTGCGATATGTTACAAACTACATCCGGATTATATTACTTTTTTGTTGCAATAAAAATGTAACATGGGAAAGCCTACCATTATTACAATTACTTTGTTTAATTGGGCAATTTATAATTTTCTTCTAAAACTTCTTATCAAACTTCTTTCTTGGACAAAAACAAAAGACCTTAGTTATTATTTTGATATTTAAATTCCACTATTTCAACTCCGCTTAAATATCATTTGAAATAATCAACTTAAAGATAAGATCGCTTAGCGCTACATGCCGTAGCGTTATAATATGTTATTAATAAAGAGTATTATCCCGTTGTGAAGTCTTAAACATTTATACTGTTATATCTCGGTTATTTCTATGATTTTCGCATCACGCGTGACCGTATTTAATTATAGTTACCTACCAGCGGATAGCCGTACCATTTTTTTTCTTGCTCAAAATCGAACATTTCTCACGCAAACCTATAACAATCGATGATGTTCATATTGTTCCGAGTATGTTAAAGGGCCGTATTCGTACCGTATATATAAACCTGTTATGAAATGAAATTTGTAACGGTTTCTGTCTTTTTTATTTGGAACCCAACAATGAAATAATGTATAGATGAATTGATTTGTAATGTATTAATTTCAGCAACAGTGTGAAATAATGCTGAAGAGAATAACTATGATTAACATTACTGCTCATATTTCACGTTCCACGATTATTCCTAATAAATTTCATATAATTTAGGTAACGGTAACGTGTAAGATGCGAATAAAATTCATTACAGATGCTTTCTCATAATAAATCAAACGAAAAAAGGTTCAATAATAAAATTGACACGAAAAAGATTCGATTGCCAATTACTGAAGCATGCAAAAGCCAATTATGCATTGATATTAATCGTCTTGAAAGCACATTATGAGGATATTTTCATGAATTCCGATTATTATGCACTTAAAGGAAGTTAGCCCCCAATTCATAGTGTAGATTTGATTATAACAAGACAAAATCTCAACCGATTTCAATGAACAATAGCTCATTCGAAAGCTTAATCAACGGTCAATACGAAAGTATTGACCGATGATTAAGCTTTACGCTGAAACGAGAAAATATTGCACGAGGTACACGAAAATAACACAAAAATGACCTTTTTAGGAGCATAACTTGTAAACGATGTACGTCATCCGATTCGCCATATTTTCTTCTATCGAAGTCACAAAATGCCCGATCTCAATTCCTTTCCGCTAACCTTGTACAGCCCACAGTGCTCAGAATGAAACCAGAATGAAATTCTAGCACACAACAAGAAAACGTTAATTTAGTTAATTACAGCACGGAATTCGGCACATTTTACAAACAAATTTTAGTATAAAAATTGTAACAATTTTATTCTTAATAATATTGCACTTTTACTTTTACTGTTGGTAGAGCATGGAATTCGGACATTTCAGAAAAAAAGTTTTAGCAAACTTTATTCTTAACCATATTGCTCTTTTACACTTTTGCTTTAACACAACTGTAGCTCCCCGATTTCGATGAAATTTGGTACAACCATAGAATGTACTAAAATAAGGTTTACCTATTTTTTTATACATGCGGTAAAAGCCCCTGAGCCGAGTTTTAGGGGTTGAAAGTTTAGGGAAATAGTACATTTTTGCCTATATTTCGAAAACGAAAAGTGCTATCAAAACTTTGGTAAATTCATCGTCGCAACCTTTCGAGAGGCGACACGTGTGCATCATAGTGTTCGGTGATTAAAGGAAAGTTCTTAAATTATCGTGTGTACGATAAAGGTAGCGACATGACCGCAAAGTCAATCACTTATACTACTTCCGATCAGGAAGAAGAAGAAGAAGATGACGATGATGAATGTACTCCATCAGGGAGAAAAAGACCACAAGAAAGACCTAAAAAGTCACCAAGGAAACAACCACCAACAAACTCACCAATCGAATGTGAAGGTAATCTCTCACAAAAATTTAAAATACCAACAACAACAAATTCTAAATCAACAAATGATTTACATCAAAATCAACAAACGAAGTCTACCAAAATAACTCCAATAACTGCGTTCAATAAACGGATCCCGAGCCAGAAGAACCACAATGCTGTCTTTTACGTCATCATAGATAACGAACTGTAACAACTTTAACCCCAGAAATGAAATAATAAAAACAAAAACTGGATTTCTCGTAAAGTCAGAATGCGCTAAAAATCAACTAAAATTAAATTTATCAAAACTACAAGAACAAAAAATTATTTCAAGCTTTAAAGAATCAAATTCAAATAACATCGAAAAGAACTACCAGCGGCATCATACTCAGCAGTAATTACTACTGCTGACCTCGAAATTACAGACAGTGATATAAGCGAACTGCTAATTTAATTACAAATTAATCATAGATTCTGCAAGAGAATTATATCCAAAATAACTCAAAGTCCAACCTATAAAATGAGAATAATTACCGGATGTGAATCGTCATATCAAAGAATACTAAAAGAAGGATTGTTCTATAAAAACAAGCATTTTTCAGTCGTTGAAAGTTTGGCTCCTACTCCAATCCCAGTTGCATGCTCTAAATGTAACTCTTTTCTGCAAACTACAGGCAATTGTAAGCAACCAAGAAAATGTGAAGGCACGCATAACACCTCATTATGCACATCAACATTGCCAGAGAAATGTAACTCCTGTGGTCAGGAGGGCCACAGTGCGTGGTCTCTAAAATGTAAAAATAGGTCAAAAGCCTCAATAGCTGGAATTCCAAACGTAAAAATTAAAATCTCAAATAAAAAAAGCTCAGACATCGATCCCGCGGTAAGAAATAAATCCAGAATACAACAACCACTTACTATTCATGATTATACAGCGTGTCCCGTATCTTCCGCATCAGAGCATTATACGGTTGTAGGATACATTATTCTGAAGCGATCTTTCTAATAAAATTTTTTCGAAATGTTTACAATAACCGCACGGGAACTGTTTAAAGGAACTGTTTTTCGTCCAATCAGCAGATCGCAAATCAGACTCAGGTAATCGGTGCCACCCTCGGCCGGTTCGCTACGCCGATGATAACTCGTTTCCCACGTGTACTCACCAATAGATTCGTCATGGAAAGAGAAATAAACTTTTTCGATGAATCAAAGTCGTCCGTTATTGGTCGTCGTTAAACAGTTCCCGTGCGGTTATTATAAACATTTCGAAAAAATTTTATTAGAAAGATCGCTTCAGAATAATGTATTCTACAACCGTATAATGCTCTGATGCGGAAGATACGGGACACGCTGTATAGTGGAAGCCTATAATAATAAAATAAACTAGCAAAAAAATCACAATAGACAAGGTGATCAACCAATTAAGACGAAGATTTATAGAAGCATATAATGTCGATACAATTCTTTCATTCTCGGGAAGCTACGTGTACATTATTATACTTGATTTGGAGAACCCTAACGCAATTTCACCCACGAAACCAATCAATGGAAAACAAGCAACAATACCACAACCTTCCAATGGATAATATCAGATTCCTATACTCCAACATCAATAGCTACCATCGGAAAGCTTATTTAATAAGTAACTATTTGGATACTCATCCTATACAGTGTGCTTTATTTGTAGAAACAAAATCCAAAGAACATATCAAATTTCAAAACTGGTCTGTAGTGGAAAAAATATCTGAAATCGGCAATGTTAATATCAGGGGAGGCTCTGTAGCGCTAATTCACCCATCTCTAGCAGTCAAACATA